GCCCTTAACCGGCTCTGGAAGTCTAATAGTTTTGGAGATACAGCGTTTCAAAAATTCTTCAGTTTTAATTTTAATCAAATTTGCTTTTTTTTCGCATAAAAACCTCATGAACATTTTTATAATTTTGCTCGTTTGGGGGGACTTTGTGGTGAGGAGTCTCCATAAAGCCGCACAGAAAGAGTTAGAATGATGAAATAGTTGTCATCTTCTTCTTCAGCAAGGTCCACTACCTGTTGCATGGATTGCGAAATCTGTGAGTTTTTTCGTTTTGCCTGACCTTGCTCGACCATTCAAAAAGGACACCAAATATAAAAATCTGTGACAGTAGCAGAAAGCTTACTCACAACACTATGGTTTGAATGATCACCTCGATGATCACTGAATAAGGCATCATATAAACAGGGATATTTTTCCACTAAAAGACAAAAATCAATATTTAATTTGCTTTCATTATCCGCAATTTTTAGCACTTCTTCAACAAGTTTATTACAACTCACGACTTACGACATTTCATCGTGCATATTTGGTAAATTTACTTTCTGCGAAGAAAGAACGCCAATTTTGATAAAACTTGTCAAACTAATAAATTTACCAATATTTGAAGCGCCGGATCTCAGAAATTATTAGACTTGCGGAGATCGTTGAGGGCTTAAATTGTCAGAAATTTTGTCTAGTTCAAAAAAGTATACCACAATAATTGCATTAAAATCGGTTCTTCATGAGTAAAACTTACAAAAACCAAAAAAAGAGTAAGAAAAAGGACATATTTTCAAGTTCTGTGTCGCCCGTACAGGTCTTTCAATATCGAAAACTTGGATTTTTCACATCCATATTGATCCTAACAATTTAAAAGAAAAATTAGAGATGACATATCTGATGCACGGAATGTCCATTTTTTTGTCTAATTTGACTGTACTATAGTTAAAGTAAAAAACATTATGGATGCAATATTCGAAATAATCTTGGAATCCTAATTATCCTTAAATTAATCTAAATGAGAATGTAACCTGTGCATCTTTAGAGACATTTTATACCAGATGATGCAAAACCAAAACCCGTCAGCTCGTCATAATTTTTACCTCTATGGTTACCCAGGAAACAGTGAACGGGAAACCATGGACTATTGCCTTAAAACTGTTCCAGGATTTTTTTTCTCTTTGCTAAGTAACCGCGGGAACACCCTCCATTTTTCTTTTTATTTGAGGAAAAACAAAGATTCCAGCTTTAATTTTCGCCCCTGAAAGCTTTCAATCAAATCGCTATAACTTTTATAAAAGCAAATATTTTCGATGTCTAATCGCACTTTTTATTTATTTTTGCTTATTATAGTCAGAATATATTATGTAAATCCCATGCGCAAAAAAAAATTATTTTTTTCTTGACCTGTGATATGCTCCTAAAACAGTTGCAAGCAAGTCTGAACCTGCAATATGTACTGTTCACATTCACATTACTGAGAGTATACGTTGTTCACACTACAGAGTAGTCAATAGGAATGTTTTGTTGTTTACATTATTGAACGTTCATATACGCCAATGTTCACAAAAACGCGAGTCTACTGTATTGCATAAAAATTCAAAGTGGGAAACTTTGTAAGTGTGCGAGAATAGCAATACCTCGGGCAATACTGATTTAGAATCACCATTTGCAATTAAGAATGATCTCAAATTATCTACTCGATTATCTACTTTCAATAAATAAGAAATAGACCACAAATAAACCCAAAAGTTGTTCACATCTATCAATAAAAAAACCTGGTTACTGTAGAAACGTACTTGGTGGCATAATGAAGGAACTCCATTTGCACAACGTTGATGAAACTTATATCCACAAGTTCGACAATGAAACCCTTGAAACAAAAGTCTCCGGCAACATTCACAAAATACTAAAGAAAAAAATGTTTTCCGCACAAAATTATGAGAAATACTTGTCGGTATTGGAAATTTATCTAATATTTTAACGGTAATTTCTTCACAATCTAATGTACTAATATCCACATCCCAATTCACCACAAAAGTACTATTTCCTAAGTATACACAGCACATTTCACAAAAAAGATTCCGAAGTTTCATTGCTTTAGCTAAGGCTTCCCGCAACGTAAGACCTTGACGCACTTGCACGCTAGTACGTTGCTGGTTGGGTAAATGAGCTCTTAAAAAAGTTTTAGGCCGTGTTAATGTATCGCATTGTGGTGGAGTATAAGTTTCATAATGGCTCAATTCGGGACTCTCCTGGCCATTTCGCAACTGTTCGTGTAACCTCCTTTCTTCCGCTTCCAATTGGTGCAACTTTGATGTTAAATCGTCGTATTCCTTCAAGTACATTGCAGGAGGATGTTGAAAGTCGGCGAATTTCGCATTTAATGCGTCGATATTTGCACGGGTTAAGCTGATTACATTTTCAATGTTTCTTAGCTCCTGTTGTATATCAAAATCGTCGCTGTCCGCCGACATTCTCGAATACGAGATATTTGAACTGGATAACACCGAAGGCAGCATGTTGCCATTCAATTCTTCTTCGCCCTTAATTAATTTATTAAAATTTTGTACAACAGCCATCGTATTGTATTTTTTCCATTTTCGTTTACTGTCATTTGAAAAGAGTCAAGACCGTGGTCAAGACAGCACAGGTTGTGGCTGCGTTACCGGCTACGGAAAAATAACTTAGGCGCCGCGCGATTTTGCTTTGTTTTAGTTTAGAAACGTTGTTTTTTTACTATATACTAGCGTCTGATGACATGATTAAACCTTTTTTCCACTTGCAAAGTTTCTATGCCAGCAGCCGCCAGTCTACATACCACCACAGATTTAAATAGTATATTTAAATCTGTGATACCACAATATGACTGCAACCTACTACCTGCAACTATTGCGCCATCTGTCGCACCTTATACCTCTCGGCGCAAGCGCCTCGAGATGTAATCTTGGTGCTCAACAATGAATAAAGGTGCTCAAGCAAGGCAATAATACTGGACTCCTTACCTTGATATATAATGCACTATTATTCATTTATCGTTATTCCACCTGTCTTATTGTAGCATCATGATTCCACCGATCGTTAGTACGTTGGGTAAAATCCCAGGAGGCGTGTTGGATAATGTGTCGTCAAATCGCCATAGATATACATTAATAATCTATTATCTATGTGTGTCGCTCTATATTTATAGTGACTCAGGGCCGTACCCAAGGGGGGGGGGGTTAGAGGGGTTGAAACCCCCTCCGAAATAATAAAGGGAAAGAAAATTATTAGTCGCAGCCAGCAGCCGACTACAGAAAATTCGTGGTTTGACTTCGGAAATGATAGCGAAAATCGGAGCGTGCATCATTTTCTATTTCTAGGTCGGACTGTACCTACCGTAACGTGCTTTTGTCCGTTGCTGTCGCAGCACCGCCAGCAGCCGAGTGACACCGGAAGTCTAGGCAGTCTTCGCAAATAAAAAAAGAAGACTGGATTTCGTTTTGTAAAATTTATGCTATTATACTCACTTTAATATGCCTAATACTCCTATAATAATATTACAAATAAATCATTTTACTCATTATTTATTTTTCTTCATTGTTTCTGTGTCACAACAAGGTCAACTATACCAAACTATGTCAACAAATGACTTCAGGTTATTTCTATCATTATACCCCTACAGTTATATTAAAGGTGAAAAACGTGCACAATTGGGGCTACTACACTGTACTTTATTTTTCTAATAACAACCCCCCTCGAAAAAATATTCTGGGTACGGCCCTGTAGTGACTTTATGTGTCGCCCAAGATAATACTACTACACTAGATAGACACCGTCTGTATAAATTTTAAACGCTCAATTTTGACCGTGGGATATGTCGACTCCGCGGAAAATGTTTTTGCCCCAATAGTAGCGATTATTCACTGCATTTTGCAGACAATATTCGAACAATGGCTCTTTATATTGTGTGTTAGTCAAGCGCGGCCTTGTGTAGGCGTATATCGCATTCTTTCACCTTTCTTTTTCTGCTCTAATTTAAATTAATAATATATTCTACACTGACCAGTTATAGAAAAATCTGCCGTATTTCTTGAATGGAAGGTACCTTCAGTTTCAGCCTGACAATGTACCTGTTCCTGTTTACAATTACATAATTTTGACATATCCAAAAAACGGCTATCGCAATAACTACTAGCTCGTGCTAGGAAGTTAAAAAAGATTTTCACAGTCTTACATCTTTTATGCCCAATGTAGACTACCAAAATTTTAACGAAATAAAAATAACCGTTTTGCCGAAAAAAAAATATTTTAGCTTTTTGTCTTAGACACTTTTTTCTCAGTTTTTTATCATAAAACCTGACAAGAAGGTCGATTTGGAAGAATTTAATAAAAATAAGTTATTAAAAAAAATTCGATGCCGTTATTTTAAAGATCCGATCCGAGCATAGGCAATTAACATGGGATAAATGTTTTTTTGTAGATTGTGCTCCTCATGTTAACTTATAGGGCTTGTAATGAGACGAGACACCAATCGAAAGAAATATTGTTTTCTCATCTAATCACATACGAATTAGTTAATTTTCGGTTGCATTTCCCATTATTTTATAAAAAATTTGGAAACAAGTGCAATTATCAAAATCATGTAAGCCATGACTATTAGCACTATTAGTAAGACAAAGCAAAGCAGATTCAAATGTTATTCAATTCTTTAGAAAATTTCCAATTGAGTCATGGCTTAACATGATTTTGCTAATTGCTAATTATGTTGAATTTTTTATGAAATTATGAGAAATACATCAGCAAATGAACAAATTCGCATATCATTAGATGAGAAAAAAATCTTCTTTCGATTGCATCGGGTCATCATAAACCCTGGGAAGTCGGAAGTTAACCTACATGTGAAGCAACAATCTGCAAAAAACATTTAAATTTTTTAACATGTTAATTATGTTATTATTATTATTTATTATGTTCGGTTTTGAAATATTCACCAGGTATGTGCCTGAATTCAAAATTTAAGCGCCGGCGTGATTAGTTTCTCTGGAAAATATAAATTCGAAAAACGGTCAAATTTTGAGAAGAAAAGGTTATAATAGCGAAATGGGTAAAGTTAAGGGTATACTATGTTACCTAGGTACATAAAAAATAAAAAAGTACTCTATAGTACTTTTGAATTTCTCAAAATATGGAGTGTGTTCCATTTTAAAAAAAAAACGGATGTTTGATACGCTAGAGAAATACAGCACGCCACTGGTGACCAGAAATATTTCAGAAACACTTTTGCTCCTCCATTTTTTTCCGATATCTTTTATGGTAAAGGCAATGTTTAATAACTTATAGTTAAACAACCATATGGAAATATTACTTGAACGAAATAAGTAGTTCTGGTCTAGAAAATCCAGTTGGCGCTACTATCGTGGTCTAAATAAGTAGTGACAGTTTACGACGAAAGGTTGCGCTTTATCATTACAGACTTTTTAGTAAGGCCTGCAAAAATCGTCAACAGATGGCTCTCCTTCAATGTAACCCGTAAAGTCACTAAATATAGAAAGTACCGCAATCCATTGGGCTCGTGTGTTAGAGAGAGAACGCATGATTTTTGCCCAAAAATGGCGGAAGTTACCAGATTCTAGTAACTTTCATGTTAGGGATTGTTCCACCTGTTTGGAGATATCTGTATATATTTTTATAAAACATGACAGTACTATGAAGTTAGGTTATAAAAAATGACAGCTAGTTCAGATTTTATTTGTCAATTTTTTTAAGTTGGCAGGAAATTTGCCCAAAAATGGCGGATGATTGCGGTACTTTCTATATCTAGTGACTTTAACTTTACCTAAAGTCACTAGATATAGATATCCGCCATTTTTGGGCAAATTTGCTGCCAATTTAAAAAAATTGACAAATAAAATCTGAATAGCTGTCATTTTTCATAACCTAACTTCATAGTACTGTCATGTTTTATAAAAATATATACAGATATCTCCAAACAGGTGGAACAATCCCTAACATTAAAGTTACTAGAATCTGGTAACTTCCGCCATTTTTGGGCAAAAATCATGCGTTCTCTCTCTAATACCTGAGCCCAATGGATTGCGGTACTTTCTATATTTAGTGACTTTAGTAA